AAAGCTAGAGCAGTACGGTATATTCTCCCAGGGGAATCATAGAGCACCTGCTTGGGTAGACATGTTAGTTTTAGAATAAAACTAGCTTTACAATATTTGCCTCTTTTCTGTCGTTTAGTGTGAAAGCCACTCAGGAGGTCATACTCTGGTGACTTGATGGTGACTACCAAAGCTAGAGCAGTACGGTATATTCTCCCAGGGGAATCATAGAGCACCTGCTTGGGTAGACATGTTAGTTTTAGAATAAAACTAGCTTTACAATATTTGCCTCTTTTCTGTCGTTTAGTGTGAAAGCCACTCATCAGCCTATCTGTCCATTTCCATTTAAGATTTCATCGCAATTGTGGGCAGAACTGACAGGCACCTTCCCTGTTTCACGCCATCTGCAGTTCAGTGTCATTCACTCGGGGCAATATGAAAAGACCAGCACTCCTAAACAAATGAAAACAAATGTTTTATTTACAGGAAAAAATCTGTACACTGTGCATACATAAAAATATACAAAATCATAATAGAAAATATAAAAAGTGTTAAAATGTATACAAACACTGCTTAAAAATGTGACTCCTGTAAAATCTTAACTTTGTTATTAGAGTACACATTCATTTAAAAAAATCATCATACAAAATAATTCTCAAAGCTATTAAAAAAGTACACAGTCTATAATTGAATAGTTCAATGACTACGTATTATAAGAGTGATGAGACGGTATGGATACATGTAAGGCTTTTACACACAGCTCTTATTTCAAGAACAAAACTCTGAATCTGATCACTAAGCCAGAGAGAAGAAATTTGCAGTGTCAAAATTCATTCACTGATGTAGGTATGCCCAGACACGGGCTACTTTAAATTTCAAATGGTTAAATCAGGTATCCTCTTTGTGTCTGAGAGGATAGCTCCCGGCAAAGATTCAGATGCTTTCTAATGACAGTATTCTGAATTACCTACTTCAAAAAGCAATTTAATTTATTCAATATGCATCAACTTTAGAGAGCATGAAGGGAAAAATAGTAGCCATTAATTTTTGCAGTCAATGCATTTAATATTCATTTCATGGTACATCTCTGTCACTGTCCAAATGGCATTTTCCATCCTTAAAAACTGCTGAAGAAAAAGGAAATGAAAAAGAAAAACCCACTATGGATTAGATTGGTCTACATGTCTTTTAAACTCCTGTCTCATTCAATCCATCTCTAAAATGACTGTGTTCAGTCTGTGCAACCACTGAGTGTAGACACTTGTCTTCATTTAGGAAAAAAAACCTGTCTCGGTTTTTCTGACTTTGGCAAGAGATCTACAGCAACAAGTTCAGAATTTGGATGTTTTCACCAAAGAGAGTGTCCTGACCAACAACATGCAATGACTTAGCTAAATTTGTACAGAGAGAGTGTAGATTAGAGTGTGTAAATCAGCCCCTCTCTCTCCAAAGGTACATATTTCTTATACCACTGTAATTTCACTGACTTTACCAGAGTTTGAACAGCATAAAACTGCACAGCAAACGAAAAAAAGAAGATTAAGTACTTTAATCCAAGGAATGACTGACTGAGCTGTGAGCTTATGCTCAGGTAAGCTTTAGAACTATAAAGGAATGGAACAATTAATAATTTATTCTAGCAAAAAAGTTTTTGGCTCAAAATGAGGCAAAATATATTTTTTTTTCTTGAATAAACAGAAGAATACCTTGATTTAACCATCCAAAGACTGAATGCATAAAACGATAGAGCACCGCAAGTCAGAAAAGCTACGGAATTCACAGTGGAAAAAAGAGCAGAATGAAATTCAGCATAAACTCAGCACATTTCGTTAAACTGCTGCTGTGTTTCTGGTTTTTGTTTGAGCTAAGTGCAACTGTTGTCCACAGCACCAGGGCACAGAAATGAGGCTCAATAGCTTCTGAAGGCAACTTACTCCTACTTGTCCGTAAAACTCCGTAAATTTAAAACCTGCATAATCTGCAACCAGTGTGAAGGGAGCTCAGGGCTCCACTGGCAGAGGCATTTGCTTGGCTGACGGTGCAATTCAAGGGCCAGGTTTGGGCAAACCTCTCACCTGTGGTGCTGTTCCACTCTGCTAGGGGGCAACAGGCACATGGGAGAGCTGTGACGCCACACCTGTGTCTTCTCCCACCATCTGGGTGGGAAAATGCATGTCCTTTCACATCGTCTGTATTTAATATATGTATCTAAAACCAGCACTCTCACGAGTTACTATTATTAAGGTATGTGGTTCAGTGTTACTACACGCTCATTCATTGTTTCAAATTTAATGAATGTGATTCTTTTTTAAGATCTCTCTGCCCTCGTGAGGGATGGGAAAATGCCCATAAATGCAAAAATGGGCTCTTAAAAAGCCACCAATGCCAATGCCACAGAGTGTAAGCAGAGGTGAGGGGAGCACCTCTGCAGGTCCTTTATGTTCTGTCTTTACGTCTGCCCCTTCCCCTCTTGCAGCAAGTGGACGTGAGTCCTCAGTTACCAAATCAGGCCACACTTGTATCAAACAATGAAGGAGGACAAGACAAAGTAGGAGAGTAAAATCTTTTTAAGCAGCCACAAGATGTTTGAGCAGGCAGAGCAGTGAAACATCACAGTGGAAACCAGTGTTGGAAAGCCACGCCAGAGATGCTTATTTTTTCAAGAAGGGCATCACAAGTTGGTCTTCCTCCTCTGTGAGCAAGCAAGCCTTTGCAGGACAGCTCTGCAGCATCTTCTGAGGTGACGGTGCTACAGCAGCCACATTTGCACTTGTGGAAGGAGCACTGACTGCCGTATAAATCAGGATACGGCAAAGAAAAAATTCATGCTGTGAGGGCTTGAATGCACACAGTCCCATAAATTAAAAAATACACAGTTCATTTTGTAACATCTCAGACCTGGTTCTGCATTGTTATTTAAACGATGTATTCAGTAGGTATGCTGAGCTCTTGTTACATGAAACTTTATCATTTGCCTTGTTCTGTACAACAGCTATGTTGGTTATTCTGACAAATTACTGAGGGAATAATACAACATAATCCTGCTGTGAGTACTTGAGTAATGCAGTTAGTATTTGTTTTCTTCACTAAAATCAAAGTTAAAGGTTAGTGGCTGCAGATCAATCAAAGTTACATCCTTTTTTTTCTTTTCAGAACTTGAGAATTTCCAGCTTACGAAAAAGCAGGATATGCACTAGTCCTCAAAAACTTATTGACTCCCTTCCTTTACAAACATGAGGTCACTAACCCAGCATACAGGAGAGACATGTTTGACTGCACTGTTCAAAAGTTTTGCAAACAGGGTACCAAACATATGGAAAAATAGATTAGTTCTATGTAAGTTATCTATTCTCCACAAGATTAAGTAACAGTGTTATTAACTTTAAGAATAAAAGTTGCCACCATACATGACATTAAAAAGAAATCGGTGTGTAATATATCCAGAGTCTAAGGCTAGAAAGAGTAAAACCTATTCATTTTGACACGTACCAAAATGAATTATGGATATAACTATCCACACAATACGCAAGTACAGTTTTTAGATCATCTGGACATACTTTTGCCAACAAAAGGAATCATAAAGCCTAAATTAAGAACCTACGTGGAAAAAGAAGGTGAAGTCCTACGTAGGACACATATTCTTCACTTTTGAGGAAGAAAAATCATCAGACCCAAAATGCAGAGTGACAGAAAAACGATTGTGTGATTATATTTACATTACTATTGAAGAGGAAATAGTCATTAATATTGTATGCACTCTTCAATTGCCTTTCTGTTGCTTAAGATAAAACACAAAAAATACCTTCCAACACAATCACTCAGAGTTTCTTTTCAGTGGCTCTTTCAGTGTTGGCCTTTTTACTGAACGGATATCAGTACAATATAGCTGTGCTTTGTATACATACGTTCCTGCTCAACTTACCCTAAAAGAAAGGGTGAAAAACAAAAACCCAAAACATTAACCTCCTGCCACTTGGAAAATCTGAAACTCAAGTCTTGCCATGAAAAATAATGCTTTAAATACATTAGCAACGAAGCATATTTTTAGAAGTGCCTTAGAGAATCTTCTCATTGTGTGCTAGGAAGGAAAATATCAAATTATCTCCATATGCAATCCATAGTCACGCTTTTTGCAGACATTACAGCTTCTCTGGGGTATAGTCTTTCAGACGTTAAATAAAAAATGCTGATATGCTCTTCTTTTGTCAGAGAGCTCCTTATACTTTCTTAACAGCAGTAACTTATGAACAAGTGAGTTTGATTTGGATCCCAATGAAATACCTAACAAATTATGTCTGTAATCCTGAATGCTATCTTCGCTGCAGAAAGGTGAGCTCCCTCTATGCTTGCTTTCAGCCTGATACGTGAGTGCTGCACAGCCTCCCTTGCCTTTCTCTGGATCTTCTTTATCTGTGCAGACCAGGGGAAGGCATCATTTCCATCTCACTTACACTCTCTTGATAGGCCTCCCAGGGAGAGTATTTTCCTGAATGGGTTACGAATATGTTAGCTGCTCTCTAAAGAAATGAGATGTTTCTCTTTTCCCTCTGCTCTATGCAGTAATGGGGTGTCTGATATCAAAAGTATATCAAGTAGTTTAACTGGTTTAGTTGTGTGTACAGCCGTTGCCATCTGGCTTCATAGCCACCATAAGGCCCCCTGTAGAGTTGGAGGCCTGTAACTATGGAGCCTACCTAGAAACGGGAATTAAAGTTTGCTCTAGTCAATGACTGCACAGCTCAGAGTCGTGATTGCTTCATTCTTGGAGAGTGTGAAAATCCCATGGAACCAGGAGAAATGCTGCATTGTTCAACTGGCTGCTCTGTACATGAACAATAGAGGCTGTTTCACAATGCCAGGTTTGACAGTTAAATAAATTCATTAAAAAAAGTTACAGTCTAGCATATGTGGCATAAGAGACCACTGACAAATTCTGACAGTCACACCCACAACAATACATTATATTTCTGCCTAAGTATGTCCTTTGCACCTTTCGTGAGCTAAGCCTTTTTTTTTTTTTCTTTAACTATTTGCAAAGCAGTAATAAATACTCAGGCTCAGAAAGGAAGTATTCCTCATGCCTGCTACTTAATTACAATTTATAGACTCAAGACTAGATTGGTCTAAGATACATTTTTCAAGTATTCTCTTCTTGTTTATAGTACGACAGTAGTACCTTATTGCACATTGTTTCTTAATGACTCTCTTCTACAAGTGTGGGAAATTATTTCGTGGGGGGCACTTGACAGCTTTGAACCCTGGCAAAATGACTTTCCCCTTCCGATATAGATCATCCTGCAAACCTTTGTTCATCCTCTGCACCAGCAGCTTCTCGTAGAGCAGTGGGTGGTAGGCCCCTAAGGTACAAGCTGCATCGTAGTAGAGTTCATGGTAGTGACACAGGTCAGTCTGTCGGACTGAAGGGATGTACTCGTACACGTGCACCTCGTTACACATCGACATCATGATGAGGATACCTGGAGCAGACAGTGAAAATAAAAGTCAACCCCAGATTTCACCTTTCTCACAGAAACTTCCCTCCAGTCACCCAGTCGGTTTTTCGTTCCTGCTTTCCTTTGCTGTTGCACACCTTAAGTATTACTTCTGTAAAATCATTACGTGAAGTAACAGTTCCTTTTATTAGAGCAGTTTTCACTTGTTCCTGATACATAAAGACTTCGATCCCTGTAGAGTTGATGGGGTAGGACAACACTCATAAAGAAAGAGTAAAAAGCCTATAAAGGACTTGCATACCATCGTCAGCCTCCTTGAATGAGAAGAATGCTCTCTCCCACCTTACCCCCCATTTACCCCATCCTATCCATAAAACTATCCATAAAAATCCACACAAGAAGCAGGGACCTAGTGCAGCTGCATGCTTATTTTTTTTGAGTCAACTATTCACTTTTCTTGGTTTTCTTGTATATTATCAATTCTTGAAGCTATTTAGCAAGACAGACCATGTCTTCATATTCACTTGAAGAATACAGAACACAAACACACACACACAGAGCAGTTGTCTGCTGTTTTTAAGGAGCTCTTGTAGGTACTTGTACCGCTTCCACAGCTAAACTCTGACCTGCCACCTACATGAAATAAAAAAAAATTCCAGGTATGCCCGTTCTATCCTACTCTGTGCTTTTGGGTATCTGTGTCTTGCAAATATTTACATACATACTGAACTTCAAGGCTATGAGGAATCTGACTGATTTCACCTTCCTTTTTTGTACTCCATGGCAAGGGGAAACAAGAATAGGAAAATGGGCCAGTATCATCCATGTTTCTTTCCTTGACAACTTTTGGATGGTTCATTCTGATTGTTGGCAATATCAGGGTATCAATATACTCCTTGAAACATTTCCACCTTATTACAATGTTGGTCTTTCTTAGTTTGGAATTGAACCAATTCCACTTTTTCCATCTTGCTTCTCTCTAGGCAGGAGAACATGACAAAGGCGGCAGCCTAAATACATGCAGAAGGGCATATAAACATCAGCCACATAGTGGTGGGCTCCAAAGTTCACAGCTTCTGACAATTTTTTGAAGAGTATCATGAAGAGAGGCTGAGGAAGGTGAATTCCTTCTTAGAGAGGTGCTGTCACAAGGAAAAGTTCCTTATCACCTCCTGCTCAGCAAGGAGGAAGCTACAAAACGCCAACCCATTTTTTCCTGTCACATGTCAATGGCAATCACCAGCACTCTCAGTAGCAGTTAAGAAAGGCCATATGGAAATTAATTTCCTGTTTAAAGCTGGGCAAAGATCTGCTTTGACCTTAGATGCAGTCCTACGATCCTGTTCCTCTCCATATTCCATGCTCAAGATCAAAACTAGACAGATTCAGGAGGAAGATAGGTGGCCTTGTGCAAACTTTGTTTTCCTACAGCACTATTGTAAATCTGTACCATCAGAAGGTCTTTACAGCTTTGAAACGAGAGAAATCTTACTGTCACAGCTGCATATTTTCAAAGGGACTAGTATCAGATACTGATCAACAGTACTGTCTAAATTGCAATACTTTCACATCAATCACAGCTTCTAGGAGCCTTTTCTGTTTCACATCGCCTTGTTAAAGGAAAATGATGAAATAAGCCTTGAACACCATTTTTTTTTTAAGATTTCACTTAAAAAATTAAAAAATATATAGAAAATGTATTGAAGTACTTGTTGCACTACTGGTATCCCTGTCTGTTGTATATGACTACTCTCGACTCCCAGAGGAGACAGCTGTATGTTGCTCACTTTACACTAACAAATGAGAACTGATGTAATTGTTGTGGTATTTTTTTTCTGTACAACAGCTTTGGAATCATAATGCATCAAAGGTGTTTTGGGTAGATCTCACAAGTGAAATGAATTAACATAAAAAATTATTTTGGTTTGTTAATTAAGCAAAGCCATTTTCTGAAGTTTAGTTTGCAGTTTGGGAACACAGAGATTTCAATGGCTTGCTAATGAAAAGAACCTTATGTTCTCCCTGCTGTGCATCATTAGATTATCAAAATGATTTTTTCCCTGCCTGATGTGTGAAGTAACTGAAAACCAATTACTTCTGTGATTAAATCTTCTTTTATCATAAATGAAAGGTTCTGAAAATGTTTAAGATTGTTCTACAGCTTTACACTCCACAGAGTCTATGGTCTTATAAAAGCTAAGCACATCAATTTCAAAGGAAAAGTCCACAAATTTAAGTGAACTTTAGTCTTAAGCAGCAAGAAACGGACTCATGGAGAAAAAATATTTAATTCCTATTTGAGCAAAAAGTACAAGCTTAATAAACCACGTTTCCTTGCCTCCAAGCTGTTGCAGAGATGCTCTGAATTGTAGCCTGCCTAGCAACTATGTCTAGAATTGTTTGTTTGTTGTTTCAGTTCTACAAATGCTTCCGTCAGCTTTTCCACTGCCAACCTCCTTCCTCCACTGATGGAGAGCCCACCTGCCACTCCAAGGTAACCGTTATCCAGCTGAATCAGAGGACGGATGGTGGAAACGTGTGCAATAACGAACCACGTCCAAAAACAGACAGTAAAATGACTTCTCTCCTGCACCCGGAGCCAAACCTGGAGCCAGTTTCAAAAGCTGTACCACCAACATCTTAGGAAAATTGGCTCTGACGGAAAGTGCAAGCCTTAACCTGAGCGTGTTTCATTTCACTGCCACATTACCCAGCTAACCTTAAAATTAATAAAGGAAGTTGCCACGTGTGGGATAGAAAAACTGTCGAGAACAAAAACTGGGACTCTCTTACAAGTTCCTTAATAACACAGCATTGCAGGTATGGTTCAATAATGACAAAATTTTAAGCAATATCATTGACTTTCCTGTAAATTAGTTAATGGAGCACTTAGAAGTGGCAGAGTTTTAGTACTTAGTGATCTGTGGATCAATGTCCTCCAGAATAAATCTAAAAGGCATGCGGGACTACCTAGTTTAGTGCCTTGCCTTTTCTGCCTTGTTCCATCTGGTCTATGTCTTGGAATTTCAGATTAGGTTGCTCATAAATAACCATAATTTCTGACAGTCCACTCAAGTTTTTGCTCATGTTGGACAATGATGTTGCGAGGGAGGAAAGACAGTGACTCCACAGGCTACTTTCTGAGTGGTAACAGCTTATTTCCAGCATATCTTTGTGTTGAAGTCTAGGGTAAACAAACTGAAAGATGAGCTAAGACAGTAAGTAGAGATTACCACATAGAGAGGTGTCCCTGGGACACAGAGGCTTATCTGTCTGGTGGAAATGGGAGCACTCCTGAGACTTCCAGACCTGCTCCACATTTCAAATGCCCAAACCCAACTCTGGGGAAAAACAATGGCCAGTGCCAGACTTTTTCTCCTTTAGCACCTCTAACACCACAGACCCCCAATCAAAGAGACCAACCAGCACTCCCACCCCAACCTCCTTTAGGCTAGATCCCAGGGCATGCAGTATTAAATACTCAGTCTACATGAAACCAAGGAGGTAGATCCCTCCACTTAGCTGGACCCCAAACTCTCCCTTGGAATGATCTGGTCCTGCTATTTCATTCAAAAATAGAAGGTGGGATAGCACTATATTACAGACAGAAGGGTGGGAAGGAAAAAAAAGCCAAAAAATAGTACTTTTTTAAAATTAAGCTGATTTCTTTGTGTGAATAGAGTCCTCGCTAAAATAGGGAATAAATGGGTTCAGTCTTGTCCTGTGCCTTAGAGGATGTGAATGCTCCTTCAAAAAGGGCAGCCCTAGGGTTGCAGAACCATTACTGAAATTTAAGTTCACAAAAAACATGAATCAACTGTCTTTAAAAGAACAGAACAGTTTAAACCATGACAACATTTACACCAGTCTGTGTATTATGATATATTCAGGTTTTATTCTCTTTACTTTCTAATGCCATGTCTGGCTTGTTTTCTTTAAGTCCCTAAAACAGAGCTCCCCGGGCTACGGGTCTCACATTCCAGCCTCTGTTTTTTAGTACCACTCTAACTCAGTTTCTCTCTTTGCTTGGTGTTAACAACATTGCAGTGAGTTACTGACATCTGTATCCAGCAGCTATAAGCGTGCCAAGCTGTCTATACTTTCATCTACCTCACAACTCAGTTTCCACATCTTCCCTTCTCTCCCCCACTTACCTAGAGTGATCTTATGATTTTTTTTTAAATTATTAATAGCTTTTTGGCACTTACATGATCCGCAAAATATTTTACGTTCAGACTTTTATGTTTTGGATGCAATCACAAAGATAAAGTATGCACCTGACTGCTTGCTGACTTGACCTTCCTTCTGTTAACCCGTTTTGCTTGCCAGTCTGCTCTGCGAAGTGCCACCTCACTTCCCATTTGTTACCCCGTTTGCTATATTTACACATCTCCTTCTGTATTATTGCTTCCTACGTTTCTCTTCTGTGGCTGAATCTCTTCACATTTCCTCCCACACATATTAGCCAGCAGTTTCCAAGTTGAATTCTTTTCCCTATAATGCCCACAGAGTACATGCCTATGTCATTATTTCTTTTGTGCGTGTACTTTTCACATCACTGCCCAATTCAGTATCATCTGCAAGTTTGGTTCGTATTTCAGCACTCCTCATCAGCATCAGTATGAATGAAAACCAAATTGTTTGATAGCCTGTAGGGTGAAAAATTTCCATATGCTACACTTCAATTTTGTCTTTGCTTACAGTGCTTAAGTTAATTTTCAGTCAATGCATAATTATACATGTAAAACAGCACAGACTGGCTTACACATGACCTAAGGAGACATTAATGAGCGTGATGAGAGACTCATTATCCCAACACCTTACAGTCTTGACAGAACTAATCTAACGGAGGTGTTCATGCCCACCTCTGACCTAGTTGGTCTGAAGCAGTCTTTCTGCAGGAGACAGGCACAATTCATCTGACTTAATTTTGGTTCTCTACTTTAGGGTGGAATGAATTGTTCCCTGTAAGTGTTGTTCCTCTCCAGTGACTAGGCAGAAACTGAAAATAAGAATCTGGCTTTTGCTGTCAAGCACCTTCTCCTCAGCTCTCCCAGGTCAGACACTTTTGGAGCTTTATGAAAAAATAATGTAATTGGCTTTTCCAGGAGAACTGTGAGAAGATATGAAAACAAGGTGCAATTCATCTCACCAGATGAAATGGTGAGATGGTAGACTGGTGCAGCTACCCACACCTCAGAGAGTTATCACAGGCTCCTTTGTTATCAGTAGAAGAAAGTGTACGCTTTTAGGAAGCAGTGCATGTCTACTTGTCTCGGAGTAGACTTTCAAAAATGGATCATACAATTCATATACCAGAAATTCCCATTTTTTTCTATTGACCATAGGGGAAGCCTGAGTGGCAGCAAAGAAACCTGTACTGCATGAGTTCTACCTGCACTCACAGTACAGGATGAAAATTTCACATGTAGAGGGGAACACAGGTCTCATAGCCATATTTAAGAGATGCTTATTTTTTTTCCTCTAATAAGTCTGAGGCTGATTAACACAAATACAGACCTGCTCTGGAGACATCTAAAGCTAGGTGGCATGAGTCTTGCTCTCTGACTGACCTAGCCATGGACCATAAACATAAGTCAATTTTATGTGCAAGGATTCAGATGAGAGGAGATGGCTTTTTTTTACACTCATAAGGATTAAGGTACAGGAACAGGAGTGAAAGCAGAGAATTAAAAAATATTTAGGGAAGGCAAGAGGATATGCACAACTTAAGAAAAAGTAAAAAGTGAACGGGAGAGCCCACAGACTATCTATTACAGCACACAAACATCAAAAAAGGTGAAGTACTCCTTAGAATGAATGCCATCAGAGAAGTTCACGGGGCACAACATGAAGTCTGCTTTTCATCAGTGGGTGGTAAAAAAGATCAGTAAAAACTAGATTAACTGCATTAATCTAGGGGTAGCAGTATTACTATGGTGCCAAGGGGATTTGGTCAAGAAACTGTTAAGCTCCAGTACAAACCAGCAGAAATACTGCCATTCTGAGTGATGAGGTTGCCATGAGATGTGTAGAAGGGTCTGGAGGGAACTGTGCAGGCAGTTCAGGGTCCCCTCAGAGCAGGTTGCTTAGGGTCCTGTCCAGCCCAGTACTAAGTATCTTCAAGGATGGAAATGGAGCAGTTGAATCTTTCCAGAAGTTAATGGAAGCATGCAAAATACATTTTGTAGGCATGACTCTGAAACCAGCATGCAGGAGTGAAAATAATCATCAGACACATTCTTTTCCAGATCTGATGCTTAAGCTTTACAACTATTAGATCTTATCCGATGTAAATTTCATAGTAAGGAAAATGCAAGGGTATCTGGTTCCAGATACCCTGTACAGACTTCCAGCTGGAAGTCTGTAACAAGTGGTGTTCCCCAAGGATCAGTACTAGGTCCAGTCCTCTTCAATATATTCATCAATGACCTGGATGAAGGGATGGAATGTACCCTTAGTAAGTTTGCTGATGACACAAAACTAGGAGGAGTGGCTGACACCCCAGAAGGCTGTGCTGCCATCCAGCGAGACCTGGACAGGCTGGAGAGATGGGCAGAGAGAAACCTAATGAAATTTAACAAGGGCAAGTGTAGGGTGCTGCATCTGGGGAGCAATAACCTCAAGCACCAGTACGGGTTGGGGGCTGACCTGCTGGAGAGCACCTCTGAGGAGAAAGACTTGGGAGTCCTGGTGGACAACAGGATGACCATCAGCCAGCAATGTGCCCTTGTGGCCAGGAAGGCCAATGACATCCTGGGGTGCATCAAGAAGAGCGTGGCCAGCAGGTCAAGGCATCCTGCCCCTCTGCTCTGCCCTTGTGAGACCCCATCTGGAGTACTGTGTCCAGTGCTGGGATCCCCAGTTCAAGAAGGACAAGGAACTGCTGGAGAGGGTACAGAAAAGGGCCACAAGGATGATTAAGGGCCACAAGGATCTATCCTACGAGGAGAGGCTGAGGGACTTGGGTCTTTTTGGTCTTGAGAAGAGAAGACTTAGGGGGGATCTAATCAATGCTTACGAATACTTAAAGGGAGGGTGTCAGGCAGACGGGGCTGGTCTTTTTTCAGTGGTGCCCAGTGACAGGACAAGAGGAAATGGGCACAAATTTGGGTATAAGAAGTTCCACCTAAACGTGAGGAGGAACTTCTTTACTGTGAGAGTGGTAGAGCAATGGAACAAGCTGCCCAGAGAGATGGTGGAGTCTCCTTCTTTGGAAACATTCAAAACCCGCTGGGACAAGTTCCTGTGCAGCCTGCTATAGGTAGACCCGCTCTGGTGGGGTGGTTGGACTACATGATCTCCAGAGGTCCCTTCCAACCCCATATGATTCTATGATTCTATGATTTTAGCTTTGGCAAACATGATTGGAGCAACAATACATTCAAAATGGCCAACTGAAGATATTTCTGTATAGGCCACTCTAATCTAATTCCAATTCCCTTGCTGGATTTTCTGAAGTCCCATTTGGATTACAACTGTGAAAATGGAAAGAATGCAAAATAATTCTGCCTGTGTGGGGGAAAGTTGTTTTATGGTAGACCATTCAAATATGTGCTTTATGAATGCTTTACAGTTGACTGACAATGTTCCTGAATATTGCCTTGGACTAAAAAAAGGGATTGTGAGCATAGAATATTCTTTAAAAAATATTTTAAAATATATTATTACAAAGTAATGATGTGGCTGTCAGAGAAAGTCAACCTGCGGGTTTGTTATAACAGTACAATGTTAGATGCTAATGAAGTATTATGTATTTCAAAATATTATGTATTAGTATTTCAAAATCCTTAGAAAGATGAGTTGCTTTTTCTCCCCATTTCGCAGATATCTATTGTGTCAGGAAGTATT